GACATGAGGAGAGAACTGAGGAAGAAGCACAGGAAGGTTCGGAACAAGAACATGAGGAGAGAACTGAGGAAGAAGCACAGGAAGGTTCGGAACAAGGACATGACTGCTTGGAAGTCATGCGAGCCGAAAACCACACACCTCCTCACAGTGAGTGATACACCCCTGGTTGAACCAGACCTTACCCTCTTTGTTGACGGTCCCAGACATGTGGACGATCTGGGTAAGTACCACACAGGCTGTGCAGTGACAACCGCGGATCAGATCCTACAGGCGGATCCCCTGCCACCTACAATGTCGGCCCAGGAAGCAGAACTTCAAGCCCTCACTGCTGCGTGCAAACTGGCAGAGGGGGAAAGAGCGAACATATACACAAACTCCAGATATGCCTTTGGGTGGCACATGACTTTGGAATCATCTGGAAGATGCGAGGCTTCCTAACGGCTACTGGAACACCGGTGAAACATGGGCCAGCCAACAAGGAATTGATGGAAGCTTTGCTTTTCTAGTTTGCCCAATAGTACAAGACATTTAGAGATAGCAGAGGTGGGCATATGTGTGACGAGCACTCTCCTGTTATCTGTGTATAAAGGAGAGAGAACGCCCTGAATAAAGTAGATGCGTCATAAACCTTAATCCTGAGTTTGTGATTTCTCTCCGGTGCATCGAAAACGACATAATTAGGAACAGCAGCAGACATCTGGTGTGAACCCAGTTGTGGTTCAGATCCATTTCAGCTTCACACCTAGCAACATTCTTCTTCTCCCAATAATTAGCTTTCAATTGGCAAAAACAAAGATGCTGAAAACAAAATGTCAAAATCGCCTGAAAACACTTATGGTCAAGTGTGGATGGGGGGGTAAGGGCCTATTCACACATGGGGGGTCCATTGAGGTCTGCTTTATTTAAATTGGCTGCCAAATACACAAATTGCGCCCGCAGTATTTCCCAAGCACAACATATTACAACGCTGTAATCAGGCCCGGATTTCCCACAAGTTTAACAATGACAAGCACTGCAGTGCACCAACACATTTATTACTTCAATGGCCTGTTGTGAGCTAGCCCTAAGAGTTTCACTCTCTCAGCATCTTACAGCCACCTATTCCTATTCAACACACTGGGAGATAAAGCACAAAGGAAAAAATTAGTTATTCAATCATGTTGCAATGCGTACTTTATTTTGGTTTGTTGATATGGTGCAATCTCACACGGGGGGTCTTTAACAGCCTAACGCGATTGTAGACTTTTGCTGTGCTACTGTACCTTTAAAGATGATGGGTTCATCTCGAAGATAAACCTGCCGTCAATGTGTATATATATATAAAATATTATAAAACCTAAACAGTAGACTAAGATCACAGAGGTACTAAATACAGAGGAGCACCCAGTAGTCGTGTTATTCAGGCTCTGTGTAACTTGTGCTAAGAATGTGGTAAAAACATAAGAATCATGCTTAAATAAAGTGATTTTAAAATTAAAAGGCTTTCAAGCAGTTTCAAATGCTAATTAGATCACCTACCATGGATGCTGCTCTTTGATGTTTAAAAGTTTTAGCTTCCTGCGGTATAAGCTGGTCTCTTGAGCACTGGCCCTGATATCCTGTTTTAGGGTGGCTCCCTTCCCTTGCAGGGTCCTACTGAGCCACCCTTGTGTGTGCTAGTAAGCTGTGTATGTCTCCTCAGACACACAGACACAACAAGGCAAGACACTCCCTGTCACTATGTCGCTCTGAAGAAGGATCCCTGCGCGGACCCGAAAAGTCAGCACCTTATGACGCTATGTGACATTTTGCACTTTTTTGAATATATCGGGATTTTGATGTTCGATTCCCTGAGTGTGTGCCGGAGAAATGTTTGAATTTACCATTGATGTTTGCACGGCGCCATCCGTGCGGTCACCCTGAGCACCACAGATGCCTTTTGAACTGTAAGACCGTAGGAGTGCGGGTGGTACTTGGATTTTGTTTCCTCAAACACACAGACACAACAAGGCAAGACACTCCCTACTTCCCTCTACTCCTTCCTCCCTTCTCCAAGTAGATGGATTGCTGCTAGAGACTGTGATGTCTTTTGTGATGTCCTTTGTGATCTTGTACTGGACAGGAAGTTCAGTGAAGCTGAACTGTGGAAGTTGGAGTCAGCTGTTCAGAAATATGATGAATGTAAGTGTTTCGCAAAACATTTTTTTTAAAACACTATGCTGGGCAATATATATTTGTTTGATCTGGATTGTGGATCAAATGCACAATATTTAAGGGTCTATTCACGAAGCAGCCAAAGGATCTAGCCGTAGCTTCGGCCGATCCTTCGGCTAGCTTCGGCCCCAGGACCCCTTCAGTTCAGTAGAACCGAAGGGCAGCTGTACAGGCTATCCACTATAGCCCGTACAGCTCCCGAACTTGGCCGAGCGGCTCAGTCGAGCCGAACGCATATGCCACTGAAAGCCGAAGCTGGCCGACAGCCTGTTTCTGACAGCTGGACGGAGCCAGCCGTGATATTACAGAGAGATCAGTGTCCCTGGTTACCAGCTAACCAGGGACACTGATCTCCAGACAGCAAACTCTCCCGGGCGCTCCGAGAGTCTCCCGCTCTTTTTCACTGCTTTTTCTTTTTTTTCCCTTTATGCTGACATGGAGCCGTGTCAGAATAGAAAAAATAAAATAAAATTTTTGGCCACAGGAATGCATTGCTAGATTCCTATTAGCTATTTCAATAGCCAATAGCAAACTAGCATTGCACCCGCCCTCTGCTGCAGTTCTTCATCAGGTCCACCACTACTGATTGACAGCAGCAGAGGGTGGGAACAATAGCTAGTTTAGGTTTTTTTTTCTATTCTGACACGGCTCCGTGTGAGAATAAAGAAAAAAAAAAGAAAAAGCAGTGTTTCTCTCCTTGGTGGCCGGGAGCGGGAGACCAGATGTTGGATCGGCTGAGTCGAACTCCTTCTGCACTTCGGGTCGGCCGAACATGCTGAGCATATTCGGCCGACCCGAAGCCACCCGATGTACGGCTGAAATCAGCCGTAGCACCCTGAAGTGAATAGCCGAACAGCGTTCGGCTCACTTCGCTTTAGGTCGGTCATTCACTTGGCTGCCTACGGCAGCTTAGTGAATAGACCCCATAGTATTTGTATGTCTTGAGATAAAAAATTAAATAACAAGGTGGTGTATTAGATAAACAACCCATTTAAATGGATGCCATATTTAAATGCACATGCAACAGTCAGATTAATAATGAGGGACAGAATGGCAGAAAAAGGGAGTACAAAGAGTTTAGATGAGGATACAGAACAGAGGTGAGGTATACAAGAGGAGGCAGAAAGACTAAGGGGTAATATGAGATTCTGAGAAGGGGATATATGTTAAAGGATATCTGCGGTCAAAACTAAAACTAAATATGTATTTCTATATTGGATCTCCATAAATTCTATCCCACTCCTAATAACTATATTGATCTAGAAGATTGTAAACTTGCTTATTGAAGATCCCCATAGGATGTACTTCCTCATTGCACTGGCACAATTTCACTCAGCCCTGTGACTATGTACTTCCTTGTATCACCACTCTCACAGAGCCTGCCTTCTGACCAACGTCTGAACAATGTAACATTATCATTGTTTCCTGGAAGCAATGCAATATGGGGTATGTATAATAGGAAGTATCAGGACATAACATGACCTCATCAAGGCTCTTTACTTCTGCAGACAGAAGTACCCCCCAAAAATATAATTATTATTACAAAGCCAATATTACGTAAACCTGAACTGAAAAAAAAAGTGAGTTCCTCTGAATATGAACTTTGCCTGTTTGCCAGCTTGTAAGCCCCCCTATGTGATAGCATTTAAATAAACAAAAAAAGTTTAAAAAAATAAGATCAAATAAAAGAAATAAAAATGTTTTTAAACATCCCAGGCCCCGTACCTGTATTAATGTAAACACACGGATGCGTATACATAGGAAAACGACGATCGTGCTACACATCTTAGTTATCCCCCTGTGCGCCAGAGTGAGAGCAATATTTCTTGGGCCAATATTTATGGATTGATGACCTGTACGGGGTTTTAAAGCTTCCCCTATGGACAATTTGGGGGGACCGTATTTTGTTGTCGTTTCAGGGACACGCTCAATTTTTTAAACTGGGTATGTTGAGTGTCTATTTACTCACCCTAACCTCGTCTTTTATATTTTACCAAAACATGGGTATTATTTTGTGTTTTTGGGCACCAGATATTAAGTTAAGTGCATTTACTATTACATTTTTGGTTTTGTTAAAGAGTTTCCCTAAGGAGTTTTCTCCTTTACTGTTGATGTAAAGTATATCTCTAATGTTGATGTCTGTTAAGGTGCCCATGTAGAAGTTCGGCTGGTGTTTGAGGAACCGGCTGAAATTTGCACAGTGTGTCCTGCTGTCAGCACCCTTTTGATCGGCATCACTCGATCAGCTGATCGAAGGAGCCGGCCGGAAAATCTTGAGCTGCCCACTCTGGTTGGGTATTCTGACAGAATACAATACAATGTAAAACAGCGGGATTCCTTGATCAACACTCTTTTAGTGTTGAGGGAGGAATCAGGTCTATTTTTTTCGTTCAGCCCGCAGGTTCAATGGAAAAAATAGATCAGTGTATGGCCAGCTTTACAAGTTTTTTAGTTAGTCCAGTCAGCTGTATGTTCTAAAAATCCTCAGCACCAAGTGCATGATTTAACAAATGATTGGCCCCCAGACCATTTGTATTGTCTTTTGAAAGATCATTCCCCAGCAAAGA